ACAGAGACAATTTCAACCGAGAAGATGGATTCTGGCTTAGCAATCATTGGAAGGACGTAATAAACCATTTCGGATCTTAACTGATTGTGTTCACGTTTACGGTGACTTTCAGACCGCGTTCCACTCACTGGCATTGTATTCTCCGCAGGGAATGGATTCTTTGCTCACTACTCTCCCATTGACATATTTCAATGGTACAGTGTATAATAACAAATAGTATAAAATTTATATGCTTAATACAATGTACAAAGTAATATATAGTATCGTAATTGAACAGTGAATATACAGCAGTGTGATATACATTAGGGTGGGTAGAATAATACATAGTGTAATATTACAATGTATAAGGTATGGGTGGTTTATAGCAATAGAGTATATAATTTAATGTTGGGTTTGTCTATGGCAGTATATAGTACGGTGTAGACTCGTGTGATGTAAGAGAATACAGTTTAGATGGAACCATATTATATTTTTTTACGACCTAGAATTGTAATGTATTACTTACTGTTAGTAACTCAGCTTATTGTAGAGTATATTTAGTATACTGATGATACTATGTAGTTTATACTTTAGTTGTTTACGTGGTGGTTTTAGTTACTGCAGCTACATACTATTAACACTCCTTCCCTTTATTAATGCTACCCCTATCCCCTCACTTTGATGCTGCTAATCCTGCATAATGCACGGGCATAATAGTACTATTCACATACCTGCATTTCCCATATCCCCTCCCTTTGATGCTGCTAATCCTTCATAATGCACGGGCATAAGTAGTACTAATCACATACCTGCATTTCCCATATCCCCTCCCTTTGATGCTGCTAATCCTGCATAATGCACGGGCATAAGTAGTACTAATCACATACCTGCATTTCCCATAAATATGCAAAATTCCTCTGATATGTAAATTCTTTTGTCAAGGCGCCCTTTCCCCCCCTTCCAACCCAGCTTATATATATGCTCCAAGCACGTGTGCTGTTTCATTCAGACGCTGTCGCCTCGACAGACCTGGTTTTCACCTGAGGACGGCAGCTTGCCTTGTTGCCGAAACGTCGTGAGAATTATTTTATTGTTTTATTTTAATTATTATTCTATTACTTCCTTTCTACGTGACTTTACCGAAAGAACCAAGAAGATGAATCCCTGCAGTCACGAAAGCTTTAAATCAAAATATCTACAACTACTTTGTATTTTACCAGGTAAAACCAACTCAGCTATTTAGCACTTCTTCTGAAGCAACTTGGCACAAATGATAGCACAATGAAGTGGCTTATCACGTGGAAATGTATTGCAGCCAAGTACTCTAAACACGTGAAGTTGATTATAAATGTGAAGGGAAAACCGTAGGATCCGGAGAAAAATCCACGCGACCATGCCGAGAGAGATGCAAACTCCAAATATACAGCAAGCATCAACTAAAACCCAGGTCCTGCTTTACACCAGGCAAGGGAGATAACATCTCCCCACTTGGGCACTGAGCTGTGAAAGGATGAGTCTATCTTTTGATACTCTTCTCACGAATAAGCTTTCACAGCTGAGCCTATTTAAATTATGTTAATATCAACAATAACAACTTATTTCTTTAAGTTTTCTTTTTCATTTCATGTGTTTTTTTTAAAGAGTAGATTCCTTTGATACATTCTGTTCGTTAAAGTTAAATGCCAACAGGTGTGTAGTGTAGCCGTGTGCATTGTGTTTGTACACATACGATGCAAGTTCACATTCTAGGCAGTGTCTCAATGTCAATAACGACAATGAAAACATTTCAAGTATTTTACTTCTTTCTTCACCATCGCTATAAGAGAGAGGTCCTGGTCCAGAGTCTCTCTGAGCCACACAGCGAGCGATCCGAGTTAAGCCAACCACCCTTGCCTCCAGCCTGCTAATTCCACTCCAATAACTCATTGCTCCCAGCATGCAATGGGTCTCGATAAGTCTACGGGTTCCTTTGAGTGGATCTTAGAGACTCGTTCTGGTCTATGGGTCTGTGCACGTGTGCGTGTCTATGTCAGTCTAGGTTGGTGGCTCTTCTCGTAGCCTCTATACCCACAATGTGGAAGTATCCAGACAACCTGACCTGTCCCCTGCCTAAAATATTGTTGGAACCCTCCTCATCAACTCTGCCTCGTTAACCCTCTTGATTTATTTCTGATCGTCAATAGGTGGGTACGTGAATAGGTATTCAAAGTTTAACCTTCCGAGAACTGGAGAGACCAGAATGAATCTCATCTGCAAGCTTAAACTGGTGCAGGAGTCTACCAGTAGCAGGCGATGATTGCAGCTGCTATGTGTAATCACAATTGAGATAACATCTCGCCGTGGTGGTGAGTTGTTAATTTCCTTACCTGGTATGCACGAGGTCGTGGGTTCGATCGCGATCCCGACCCTGACGCCTGTATATTTGGTGTTTGCATGTTCTCTCTCTCCCTCTGGTCATTTCTCTCTGGATTCCTCAGGTTTTTCGCTCCATATTTAGAATCAACAAATGCTCAGAGTAATTGGCTGCTGTTAATGTCCTCATTATGATAAGCCACTTCGTTGTGCTATCATATGTGATAGCCAGGTTGCTTAAAAAATAGCTATATAGCTCAGTGGCTCTTACCTCGTAAAATAAAATGGGAAATAATTTGCGGTGTCATTTTTGGATTTTGGAAAAATTACACTCGCGCACAATGGGGCCTACCCTTCCGATGATGGTGAACGTCGACTGTGCAGTAGACAGAGCAGTGATGGTGAAATGTCCCCCCAGATGGAACCTCTCATTAGCTAAAAGTGTGCAAGGTGCCGATTGACGCGTGGAAAAAAAATTAGCATCATGGAGAATACAAAATTAAAAATGCCTTCAAAATGCAACCAATTAACCTGATTGCAAAAAAAAACACCCCCAATCATAAATACAAGTCTCGCCGGTTCTGCCACTCGTAAAATCCATGCACAACGCATTCAGCCCGCTGTTGCCTGAGCGCAAGGCTGATCAGGTTCGGTCAGGAAGCCACTGGAGCTATGGTCCTTTTAAATCATCAAAATGTACAAACGAATTTCTTTAGAACTGCTTCTGTGTTGTGTTTAATTTGTTGTCCTTCTCCTGCACCTCCAATTAGCGCGGTTGGCTACGTGCGATGTGAAAGAAGTTCCAAATATATGTCTCATATTCACATGCATTGTGGCAGCAACTCTGGAAATATTTTAGTTTTTTTAATCGAATTCGAAAAAAAATTGGTTCTTGTTGTTTTGGTTGGCGACCCCTGACAACCGCAAGTAGAGGCACCGCCCGGGTCTCTCGTGGCAGGCAGAGAGTTGGCGAGGGTCAGGCCTCCAACGACAAAACTTGGCCACATCTGCCAGTCGAGGCGCCCTTGAAAAAGAGCTTCCTTAGCTCATTGGGCTCTAGTCAGGGAAGTAAACTTCTGATTCTTACGATTATGAAGTGTGTGTGAGAGAGTGGGCCAATGGGAGGATGGGCGAATGAGTGAGTGGGTGTTATAAGTGGGTGAGTGGGTTAGTGAGTGGTTTATTGAGTAGACAAGTGAGTGTGTGAGTGCGTGAGTGTATGATTGGGCCAGTGAGTGGGTCTTAAACTATGGAATGCTTTGTTGATGTCTGCTGGCAAATTCACCCTTGAAAAAGAGTTTCTTATCTCAAAGGGTTCTACCCCGGGAAGAAAACTTCTACACTCTGTGGTTCTTTCGGTAAAGTCACGTAGGTATAAAATAAATCACGACGTTTCGGGCGCTACACAAGCGTCCGTCACCAGGTGGTGATGACAGACGCTTGTGTTGACGGACGCTTGTGTTGAGCCCGAAACGTCGTGATTTATTTTATTTTGAACCTACGTGACTTTACCGAAATAACCAAAGAGTTTGGATTCCTGCAGTCACGAAAGCTTCAAATCAAGACAACTTCTGGTTGTTCTGAAAAGCCTTGAGGAGAGGCCGTCAAGCTTTTTTAGCTGTCACGACGCCTGTGCATCGCACCACGCTGTGCTTCAACACGCCCGAGGAGCAGCGTCGTGTGATGAGCAAAGACCGGACCACTTGGGGAGAGGAGGGGCTGTGGAAAGATGGATGGAGGACGCGTGTTTCATAGCTGTGCATGTGAATGTGAAACAACGCAAGTGAAAGAAGCAGTGGGTGCGGCTGTGAATGATTGGGACGGGGATCTGCAGTCTTGGACAGAGTGAGAGACGGTGACATCGCCAGCAGTAGGTGATGGAGGGAGGTAGAGTTGGTGATAGATTCACACTGCTAGCAAATGGCTCAAGATTCCAGGATGGGTCACGGGAGGCTCCAGACTAATTCCATCTCGGATGCCAAAATGACATTCAAGCAACTCGTCACGTTGGGGTAATTAAACTGAGATGGAGTTACAGGACATCATGAGATATCTACAATTACACAAACTCTTTTTAATTTTACCAGCTAAGGCTCACTGTGCTATGTGGCTTTTTGTCAGAAGCGACCTGGCTATTACAAATGAGAGCAGAATAAAGCGGCTTACGTGGCAATTGATTGCAGCCAAAAACTCTAAACGTGTGATGTTGATTCTAAATGTCGAGAGAAAAATCAGAGACCCAGATACAAATTCACGCTATCAAGGGGAGACAGAGAGACACAAACTCTAAATATAAAGTAGACATAAGGCGAGGGAGATAACATCTCCTAGAGACTGGCATGCAATCCATTGCTCTGTCTTACCATAGACATCAACTTGTGCGCTAAGCTTTGGAAGGATTACTTTATCTCTCGATGCTCATTTCATGAATCAGCCATCGCAGCGGAACCTCTACGACTTATATTAACAACTCATTTCTTTATTTTTTAAAGAGTAAGTTCCTTTGATACATTTTGCTCATGTCGCGGTGTGTACAGTAGCCGTGTTCACCTTGAGGCTGATGTTTGTGCACCTCAGGGCGCGGGTTCACATTCCAGGCAGTGACTCGTGATGTCAATGACGACAATCAAAATATTTTAAGTATTTTACTTCCTTCTTCACTGTCGATATAAGAGAGAGGTCCTTGTCCAGCGTCTCTCTGAGCCACACAGCGAGCGATCCCAGCGAAGCCATGGGTCATGGCGAGCGCGACTCCCAGTGAGAGTGTGGATAGTGAACTGCGCTGCTCCATCTGCCTGGGCACGTTCGTCTGCCCCTCCACGCTGAGCTGTGGACACTCGTTCTGTCTCCGGTGCCTGGAAGACGCCTGGGAGACGGCGAGCAGCTTCAGCTACCCGCAGTGCCGAGCGACCTTCCCTGTGCGACCCCAGCTGAGGAGGAACGTGGCCCTCGTCAACCTGGCGGAGCAGCTCAGAGTTGGAGACGAGATGGCCGCGGCCGTCGTTTGTGACCATTGCAGTTGTGGCCAGACTCCTGCAGTGAAGACCTGCCTGAGATGTGAGATGTCCTACTGTACGAAGCACTTGAGGCCTCATGTAGAGAATCCCAGGCTGAGTGATCACATCCTGGTGGCTCCCATCGCAAACATGGAGGAGCGACGGTGCCGGGAGCACAGAGAGGAGCTGAAGTACTTCTGTGAACAGGATGAGAGCCCGGTCTGCACAGGCTGCACCATCACTGGAGACCACTCTGGACACAGAGTCATCACGGTGGAAAAAGCGAAACAGACAAGACAGGTGAAGTATGATGTTCCATTGTAATCCACATTGTTACAGGAGGTTGAGAGATTCACATCAGTAGGTTGTGACCCCTCACTTCGACCAGATGAGCAGCTGTTGAGACCAAACGCCCCTTTACAGGGAGATCCAGGTAGAGATAGCAGGGAGGCTCGGATGTTAGAATGCTGAGATGGTAACGCTGTAATGCTGAGTTGGAATCTAGTCGGTCACCCATGGTTTTAACTGGATTCTCATGTTTAGTGAGTTGAATGGTTTAAGCCCAGTCAACATTTGACAGCATGTCAAATCATATTTTTTTATGAGAATTCAAAATATTACTTTGATTAAGTGAGAAACGTTATAATTCATAGTTGGGCGTGCGATAAGCCACTACACCCATGACTGGAAGAGGTTTAACATATTTTAGAATGTACGTGATATTTGTCGATCTTATCTCACGGGATATTGTATTGCCCCATGGTAGTTCCCATTGAATTTCTCGGGGAGACGTATGCAGAAATATAATGACAACAGATGTGTGTATGCGTGTTGAACATCTTTCGTAGCAATCCATACTAATCGGGGAAATGCGGGATGATGATCTATAAGGGATCCACCAATGGCAATGGTGAGCACCGTGTATTTATTGATTGATTTACCACAACGCAGGAGGAGCTCAGAGTCAAGAAGGAGGGGAGAGAGGAGAAGAGGAACATGGCGGCGTCACAAACACTGACGCTCAGGGACGACTTTCGGCGCGTGGAGGTACAGAGAGAGACGGCAGCCGCAAAATTCCCTCTTCTGGTTTGCCTAAGAATCGAATTTAATTAAACCTAACTCTTATTATACTCTTTTGTTCTTTCGGAAAAGCCACGTAGGTAGAAAAAATAATAGGTCACGACGTTTCGATCGAAACGCAAGCAATCGTCATCAGGTGGGACAACCACAGCAAGAAAAAACTGCTGAAGTAACTCTTATTATTGACGAGCACTGCACCACGCGTCGGTGTGGGATATAACTTCGGTGAATTGCAAGCGGTGTGGATTTGAAGCGAATCGTATCCCAATGACAACTCCCTTGCTGCCTACTTTCAATCTACAAAATTAACGACATCAAACTGTAATGGAGCAAAATGTGAGTTCGTAACTGTGTTTGTCAGCACTTTTTTTACAGCCCATTCTTTGAGCGCATAACCTTTCTGAAACTTGAATCTTCAAAAAAATATATAGCTTTTGTGTATTTTTACACATCAGGAGCAAAATGTGGGGAACATTACAACCAGTTTAGGACGGCCAGATTTGCAACGCAACTTCCAACATAACTGCGGTTTTGGTTTGGCGGGGGGCAGAATCGATCGGCGCTGGACGATGCGTTGGCGACTTTCCCTGTCGATTCTTTTATTGATCACAACCATGATGCTTGCTATAGAATGTTGCGATTCATACTCTTAGGTATTTCGGTAAAGTCACGTAGGTAAAAAATAAATAAATAATATTAATAATAATAGAAATAAAATAATAAATCACGACGTATCGGAGGCAACACAAGTCTCCGTCATCAGATGGGACCGTCACAGCTAGATTTACTGTCTCAAGTGAGGCAAAAATCCAAGAGTCAAGCTCTTAAATACAAGTTTAAGGGGGGAGGGAAGGGGGAGGGGGTTATCTGAATGTGGAAGCGAATGAGTGGAACGTGTTAGGGGGGTGTGGGCAGGTATAAAAGAGAACAGTAGGTGCATCTTGTTGATGTTTTACCCGATGTTGGTTGACAATCCAAATACAAAAAGAAGAGGAGAGTTGTTGGTTGACAATCCAAATATAAAAAAGGAGAGTAGAGTGCTGTTAAACGCTGGTGATGTCAACACTCGGTAAAGTAGAATAGTACCTGTCAAATAAGATGGTCCAAATATGTGTAGTTAAATCTTTTTTGCATGGTTAATAACATATTTCCAATGATTACTCAGTTTGTACCCATCATCACGGTTGAAGTTATGTCTGTGTTTGTATATCTGGATGGCTTCGTGTACAAACCTTTGATGGTAGCCAGAAGGTTTGCAGAGCACCTTGGTCTCGGAAAAGACAATCTCATGGGAACCCACAGCGTTGTAGCAATGATCGGCAACGGCGGAAGACTCAATTTTGCCGTGTTTCAGATCTGACTTGTGCTCGCGGACACAATCAGAGATATGACGTTTCGTTTCCCCAATGTAACAATCACCACAGCTGCAACTCAGTTTATAGACTCCAGGGTATTGCAAGTCAGGAATGACATCCTTCACAGATGGAATTAGATCACGGATTTTATGTACTCTACTGAATCGGACTTAGATCTTATGTTTGTTTAGAATTTTGGAGATCTTTTTGGTCACGCCTGCTATGTATAGCAACGTGATAGTTTTGATCGGAGTTTCAAGTGGCTGTTTCTGTATGGTGGGAGAAACAGCTTGGCGGATGGTAAGGTCAGAGTATCCGTTCATCCTGAGGGCCGGATGTACATGTCTTAATTCACTGGCCAGTTGGTGTTGGTCAGAAATGCCATGAGCTCTGTGGTATAGTGTTTTGATGAGATACTTCTTTTGAGACGGGTGGTGGTGGGAATCAGGTTTCAAGTATGAATCTGTGTGGGTGGCTTTCCTGTAGACAGAATGTCCCAAGGATCCATCAGGTCTCCTCTCAAACAGAATATCTAAGAATGGTAGTTTGCCATCTTTCTCCACTTCCATGGTGGATCTGATGGATGGGTGTCTGGAATTGATGTGGTCCAGGAAGTGGTTCAATGCTGGGAGGCCATGTGGCCAAATGACGAAAGAGTCATCCACATACCTCTTCCACAGGGAAGGACGCAGGGTGGACATCTGGATGGCGTCTGATTCAAACTTTTCCATGAACACATTGGCTATCACTGGTGACAAGGGGGAGCCCATAGGGGTACCCTCATTCTGTTTGTAGAAGGTGCCATTCCAGGTAAAATAAGTGTTGGTGAGGCAATGCCTAACCAGCGAAGGTACATCCGAATTCAATCCATGTTATATCAAGTCTTCAATTATTGTTAGGGTGCCAGGTACTGGGACTTTGGTAAACAGAGATACCACATCAAAACTGACGAGGATATCGTCAGGAGATAGTGTCATGTCCTTGACCATACAGACCAATTGGGTTGAGTTAAGTACTGCTGAAGAGGTCTTGCCAGTAAAGGGAAGCAGAGTATCTGATAGAAAACGGGCTAGTTTGTAGGTAGGAGAGTTGATCGCTGACACGATGGGCCATAGTGGGGTGCCTTCTTTATGGATCTTGGGAAGACCATAGAATCTGGGAGGTCTAGCAGCCGAGGGTTTTAGGGAGGGACGTTTGGTTGGTTCGATTAGGGAAGTCGAACTCGTGATGATCTTGTTGTTTTTTGTCGTTAGGCTGTTAGTAGGATCGCTTTTAATTTTGTAGTAACTCCCATCATTGAGTAGATCCAGGAAAAAGATCTCCAAAATTTTAAACAAACATAAGATCCAAGTCCAATTCAGTACAGTACATAAAATCCGTGATCTAATTCCATCTGTGAAGGATGTCATTCCTGACTTGCAATACCCTGGAGTCTATAAACTGAGTTGCAGCTGTGGTGATTGTTACATTGGGGAAACGAAACGTCATATCTCTGATTGTGTCCGCGAGCACAAGTCAGATCTGAAACACGGCAAAATTGAGTCTTCCGCCGTTGCCGATCATTGCTACAACGCTGTGGGTTCCCATGAGATTGTCTTTTCTGAGACCAAGGTGCTCTGCAAACCTTCTGGCTACCATCAAAGGTTTGTACACGAAGCCATCCAGATATACAAACACAGACATAACTTCAACCGTGATGATGGGTACAAACTGAGTAATCATTGGAAAGATGTTATTAACCATGCAAAAAAGATTTAACTACACATATTTGGACCATCTTTTATGACAGGTACTATTCTACTTTACCGAGTGTTGACATCCGGAGCGTTTAACAGCACTCTCCTCTCCTTTTTTATATTTGGATTGTCAACCAACAACTCTCCTCTCCTTTTTTGTATTTGGATTGTCAACCAACATCGAGTAAAACATCGACAAGATGCACCTACTGTTCTCTTTTAGCCCCGCCCACCCCCCCCAACACGTTCCACTCATTGGCTTCCACATTCAGATAACCCCCTCCTCCTTCCCTCCCCCCTTAAATTTGTATTTAAGAGCTTGACTCTTGGAATTTTGCCTCACTTGAGACAGTAAATCTAGCTGTGATGGTCCCACCTGATGACGTAGACTTGTGTTACCTCCGAAACGTCGTGATTTATTATTTTATTTCTATTATTATTTCTATTATTAATTATTATTATTTATTTTTTACCTACGTGACTTTACCGAAAAACCTAAGAGTATGAATCCTTGCAGTCACGAAAGCTTAAAATCTAGAATGTTGCGATTCCTCCTTTCTGTCTCCCCCAAATCTGAACCACACCAACTTAGCCTGAGTGCCAGGGAGAGTGGACGTGAGCATTGCCTTCGAAATAAGCATATTTTGACTCTTTCAGCACATTTTTTTTTTATTATCCTCGTGTTGTTGCTCTTTTATTTCCTGCAGTCACGAAAGCTCCAAATCTCTCATTGACATGCTAATTTCGCCTACCCCTTCCTCTCTCTCTGCTCCCCTCTTTCTCTCTATTTAAGGCTACGACACAGAGGCATTGTTTCTATGTGTCTATGTGCGTCTCTCTCTCTCTGTGCGTCTGTTTTATCTCTCTCTGCTTATGTGTCTGCCTATGTGTCTTCGTGTCTGTATTTTGTCTTTCTCTCAAAATTCAGCAATCTGTGGAAGAATGTAATCAACCAGGTAGGGTGTTGACTGTTATGTTAGTCGACTCTCTGTGTTGTATTACATTATATTTCTAAGTTTACTGGGTTTGTTCTCTTTAATTTGTAACTGATGATGATTGCTTATGTTGCAATCGAAGCGTCGTATGCTATTATTTAATTAATTTATTTATTCTACGTGACTTTTCCGAAAGAACCAAAGAGTAATTCCTTCAGTCACGAAAGCTCCAAATCAAGTTTGAATGTGACGTGTATTTGTTGCGTATATTCGCAGAAATTTGACACACTTTTCTGGTTATGTTTCACTTTAATTCGCATTTCCTTCCCATGTGTAGTGGGTCTAAGACGAGGGAGAGACGGTTTCTTTAGAGTCAACACATTTATTACAACTAAGGGAACATAACACAGAGGGGTAACATCCCCTCACACCCGATATCCTAAGGAGGTAGCCCCTCTGGACTAACGTTCCCTCACTCTGGTTATAGCGCTAACCCTACACTGGTTATGTCTGCAACCGACCCTTGCCAGGGTTCGGGTTCTGCCCACTGGGCTCGTCGCTTCAGGTCTTCAGGTCATCAGGTGGACGAGGACTGCCGGAACCGTCCAGGGGTCCGGCTTTTATACCCGTTCCAGGGTCTCTTCGCCCCTAGCCATACCTTTCTTCTGGAACTCTCTCAGGTAGGGGTCCCCAACCCCCGGGCCGTGGACTGGTACCGATCCGTGGCATGTTAAGATCCGGGCCCCACAGCAGGAAGTGAGCAGTGAGTCCACGCTTGGCCCGCCCATTATTTTATTTACCAATTCCGTCTGCGCCTCTTTCCCGCAGTCACAGTTTTGGTAAGCCCACAAGCTAACCCTAGCCAAAATGAGTAAAAAACAAACGTCGCTGGAGAGCTTCTTTTAAAAGGGGGAAAGACCAAATGAGGAACCCCCCCACCCCGGTCCGTGAAATAATTGTTTTCCACGAAACCGGTCCCTGGTGTCAAAAAGGTTTGGGAACGCTGCTTTAAGGGGCCCTGGATTATCCCCCCAGCCCCTCTCTTAGGGTCTGGTGGACCCTAGTGGTCTGTCTTCCACCCCCTGTTGACACATGTCCGCTACTACAGGTAAGTCTCAATGGGAACATACATACAGCATGATAATGGAGCTACATATGTACCGTTTTGTATATCCAGAGTGGGACGGACAGACAGATAGACAGATGCGAATGATATCCGTAAAAATGTTTTTCATTTACACCAGATAGACGCTCAGCAACGTGTACCTACAGACATACATATTTTCTGTAATCGCATTGCCCATGATAATTTCCCCTTACATCCCTTTCTCATTCTCCCTGTGCTATATATGTTCCCGAGCTCCCAATGCACACGTCGCCCACCTCCATATACATAATCGAGGTATGGTAAACAATCATTACCTGCACAACACCACATAGCATCGTTGCCTAACAAGTGACTCAACAGCTCGGCACCGTCTGCGTAGGAGTCTCTGTGTGGGATCAAGGAGCGGATCAAGCGAGAGTTTAAGCGCCGGAGGGAGCAGCTGAACGAGGAGGAGACAGAGGCGCTGGAGCATGTGGACGAGGAGGGCCGCTCCATGCTGTCCCGCATCCAAGCAGACATCGTTCACTATGAGAGCAGAGCACACGGCCTGGAGCAGGAGATCAACCAGCTGCTCGCCGCCCTCGCCGTGCAGGATCCGCTCTCCTTCCTGCAGGTGGCCCCACCTCCATTCCCTCGCCGTGGTGGCTAGGAGATGATACCTACCTTGCCTGGTATGCAGGAGGTCGTGGCTTCGATACCAACCCTGAGGCATATATATTTGGATTTTCCGTGTATCTCTCCCCCTGGTTGTGTGGATTTTTCTCCGGGTCCTCTGGGTTTTCCCTCCATATTTAGAAACATGCATTTAGAGAATTTGGCTGCTATACATTTAGAGGCTGACCAAAACTGAATTTCTGGTTTCGGCCGAAACCGAAACCAGACCGAAAGTTTAAAATTGACTTTCGGCCTAAACCGAAGCCGAAACCGAAAGTTTAACTTCACTTTCGGCCGAAACCGAAGTCAAAAGCGAAAGTTTAACTACACTTTCGGCCGAAACCGAAGCCGAAACCGAAAGTTTAACTACACTTTCGACCAAGACCGAAACAGAAAGGTATATAACCGAAGTTACCGAACACAAGATTCACCACGGCCGGCCGCCTGTCTCCCCAGTGGCGATTTTGACACACCACACCACACCACTTACTCGTTTGAGGCTGAGTCGTCCTAGGGGAGGACCAGGACTGGTTCAAATAATTGTCACCGGCCGTGAGTGGGAATCAAACTCGGGTCGCCGGGTTCGCAGCGCAGTGCACGAATTGCTACGCAGTCGCTTCCCCATTCCCCCCCTAGGTGCGTGACGTCATTTAATGACGGCCCCAGACCATGGTTGCAGCTGTAACCTTGCTTGCAAGCTGCTGCTGCTGACGTGTGTGTGTATGCAGCCTATCACATAGGATTGCCTAGCGCCGACTTACCAGTTGATAGACTAAGCACTAGCGTTATATTCTAAAAATAGATCTTCGATTGATGACCGAAAGTCAATATCAGTTTCGGCCGAAACCGAAACCAGACCGAAAGAAAAAAATTGACTTTCAGCCGAAACCGAAAGTATGCCGAAAGTGGCCATTTGCCAACTTTCAGCGCCGAAACCGAAACCGAATTTCGGTCGGCCTCTATATACATTTTCACACGAGAAGCCACTTTGTTGAGCTTTAATTTGTGGCCAGGTTCCTTCTGAAAATTTGCCTTACCTGGTAAAATAAAAAAATGTTTATACTCACAGCCTTGGTTTATCAGAAGAGGGTTTATCTACAACCAGGAGAGGCACACCGCCCTGTGAGACATTGACATTGTTGCCAATCTCATTTCAGTGTTTTTTGATCTGGGAGGACGCGGCGGTGGCCAGAAATAGATGCGTGTTTGCTTCCATGTGACATTCAGACCTAGTCTTGTCCAGTACAACATCGCCATATACCTCACTTGCTATGCAGGAGGTCGTGGGTTTACCCGTACCCTGACGATGCCTGCTGTAAATTTAGGGTTTGCGTTTTTCTCTCCCTCTACCCATGGTCCTATATATTTTTGTCTGGGTCCTCTGATTTGCACTTCCACATTTATAATCAACATTCAGAGTATTAGGCAGCTTCTATACATTTCCACGTGATAAGCCACTTCGTTGAGCTGTTATTTTTTACAGCCAGGTTGCTTCTGAAAAAGAGCTACATAGCTCAGTGGGCTTTACCTGCTAATATTTTTTTTCAACACATGAGTTGTTGACGTTATTAGACCACTCATGTAGGTGCTGAACTAGACCTGTCAAGAGTTGTTTTGTCATTTTTAGACGTCCGTCTGTGTCCAGTTAATTAAACCCTGTTTTTCACTTTTCTCAGTGTGCAGGTATTTGTTAATTCCCTGATGTCGCGGTCCACTGTAAACAGCAGGTGACTGTGTAGAGGTGGGGCGTTTGTTTAGGATGTCAATGTTAATGTGAAATGCGGGTTTGTGTTTTTCAGGATCCCCTGCATGAGAGTCTCAGGTCAGTACCAACCCATACTGAAACTCCAGCTCTGTCTGCCACCTGATGGACAAATCAGTGAACGGTCGTGATGTGATTCCTAATAAACCCAATTGTATGCAGTTATATCCCATATGGTCAATTGTATCCTATACGGGGAGTTATCGGGTTACGCATGTAATTTGTTCCTGAGATCGTACCGTAAGTCGAATGGTTTATAAGTCAGAAACAATAATGCACCATATTTAAATGCCGACACGGTTATTGAACGTGTTACGGTTCAACAAAGAGGAAAGCATTGTTAAACTCATAATTAAGAAGAAATGTTGTACATTTGCATCTTATACTGTAAAAAAATACTGCATAGTAAATAAAACATAACATAACTTAAATAGAAAACAAAATGAATGTTCACATATGTAGGACTCGTACAAGGGTTGTCTTTCTCTCCTCTTTATTTTCCTCTTAGAGTCCACCTTCGCCGCGCCACCGCTCCACATCTCGGCGCGGCCTCGCTCCGCTCCGCGTCTCTCTGCTGCGCCACCGCTCCGCGTCTCTCCGTGCCCTCACTCCGCTCCGCGTCGCTCCGCGTCTCTCTACCTCACTATCGCTACGCTTGTCGTCTCTACGGTTTCTCCTACTCTGCATCCTTCCGATGCATGGCTACCCTGGTTGCTCACTGCGTTCTCGCTACCACTGTCTCTCTACGCTTTACTCTACTATCACTTGCTCTGCGACTCCCCGGGCACCGTTGCTGCAGCTCCATCCACGACGCCGTCTCGTACAGGACTCCCTTCTCTCCGTTGCGCTCTGGCTTATATCCCCACACCAATGAATCTCCCTAATTATCTCTACCCCCTGCTTATCGCTCGCCCCCTGGCCCCCCGTGTCACGTGGCCTTGTTTTTGCCGCCGGAGCGACGCCAGCTAGTGCCCAATTACCTTTCCAGCCAATCACTGGCCTGTGTCCTCCCAGCTACCCTGACACCTGTTTCAACCCTTAACGATCCACTTCGCCTAAAGCCACAACAACAACCATTACCTAACATCACCCCACTGTACTGTGCTTGCTTGCATAGCAACAGAGGCGGGGGATGCGTGGCGCGCTATACTCAAGCCCTACATCACTCCCCCCCCTGTGAAAAAAAACTAGCCGTCCCGGCTAAAACAACGTGACATGCGAAACCCACAGTACACGAAAAGTTCAACAGATGCACAATATATATATAACCCCGAGTCCCAGGAATTTAAGTAAAAGTTAATCATCGTGAACGTGTTCCCGCGGCCGGTCCGTCACCCAGACTCAATGGAACAGGGGCTAGGGCATCCCCATCCGTGGCCACAGGGCAGCGTTCTGCCCGAACCGTGCGTCCATCTCCATCCCCCTGTCCATCTCTCGACGAGAGCCACCCACGGCCTTGTGCGTCCCGGCGTGTCCGTCGCCTCAAAGATGGTGTTCCTGCAGGCACACGGGGGGTAAACCGCTGAGGTGCATCTTCCCATCGCCCCCCAGGACACTCGTCGGACACATCCAATACAGGCCGTTCCGGGATTGGAGATGACACATCATATGGCACAACATATCTTTTCAACCGTGACAGGTGAATGTGCCACAACCGTCGACCGTAGCGAATCCTTACACTTTGATCCCGACAAACTTCCACAATCTCAACGGGCCCCTGCCAGGGCCGGTGGAAATTTGGTGACGTGCCCACTGGCACCATCGGACAATGTAACCAAGCCTTGTCCCACACTTGCCATGGTTCCCGTGGAGGCTGCCCCCCGTGCAGACGCTCATTAGCTGCCTGCCTTCGTTCCGTATTCCGCAGCGAGGCCTCCCTGGCCTCGTTCAACCGATCCAATGACTCGTGCATGGGGACAGCCACCACTGGCGACTTGCTCTTAGATTTCACACCCAGCCTGACCAAGGCCGGGGCTTCTGGTTCACGCACATACATCAGATAAAAGGGCGAATATCCTGTAGAAGCGTGTGGGGCCAATCTATAAGCGGCCAAAGCCGCCGGGACATGTAAATCCCAATCCGTCTGAGCCGAATTAACCTGCTGGCACAACATAGATGTCAATGTTCGATGAAGACGCTCGACCATCCCGTCGGTTTGCGGGTGGTATGGGGATGTCCGGATTTTTCTCGTACCCAATGCGTCACACACCTCCTTCAAAAGGCGGGACGAACATTTTTTTCCCTGGTCTGTAAGCAGGTGCTCCGGGGCCCCTTTATCGAAAACGTAACCCTGCAGAAAGGCCTCCACAATAGATCCTGCTGATTGGTCCACTAACGGCCATGCCATAGGCCACTGAGTTAAGTATTCGACCCCCACGAGTATTTGTGACCCCGCGGGGTAACGGGGAACGGTCCCAAAATATCAAGGGCCACAATTTCGTTAACCCGCGAAACACGTATCGATTGCAATGGTACCCGATATGGCTGGGCTGGCGCCTTCCGCCGTGCACTTTAACGTACAAATGAACGTCATTCTGTAACCCTGGCCAATAGAAATCATTACTTAAAGTCAAAGCGGTTTTCTTCTCCCCCAAGTGCATCAAACGCGCGTGCATGTCGGAAATGAGTTTCCCTCGTAAACACAGTGGCACCACTATACAAAATTTCTGTAAGACGACATCCCATCTGACCAGGAGGTCGTCAATGAGTCGGAGAAAAGGCCGATCATCTGACTGTTTGGAGCGAGAGGCCCGTAGACTCATCCTGGTAAGCGACGGATTGTCTATTTGCAACCGCACCCAACGCCCCCGTGACAAACCCAACAACCCAGGCTCAGTATCCAGTGTCTCGTCAACCCGGTTTGAATTAGCTGCAGCGGCCATTCCCGGCTCGCTCTGCAGCGGCGGCCCACAACGCGGCGATCCCTCGGAGCACCGACACGAGCCCGATGCCTGAGGCAACCGGGACAGAGCATCCGCGTTAAAGTGACGCGTACCCTTCCTGTGCTGGACCGTAAATGAGTATCCCTGCAGGACCTCAAACCAGCAGGCCATTTGGCCCGAGGGTTGATCGATCCGCAAGGAGTACTGCAATGCCGCGTGGTCAGTGCGGACCAAAAACTGTCGCCCGTACAAGTATGGTCGATAAAACTGCACAAAATGAACAATCGCCAATAATTCCCTGCGCGTTACGCAATACCTTTGTTCCGCCGGGGACAGTACCCGGCTGCCATACGCGACGACCCTTTCAACACCATTAATCGTTTGCAACAACACAGCTCCGATGCCCGTATCACTGGCATCCGTGTCCAACGTAAACATTTTCGCAAAATTTGGATACCCGAGCGGCGGTGCGTCCGCCAACGCGTCCCGGAGCGTTTCAAATGAACGCTGCTCCTCATCACCCCATAGAAACTTTTTACCCTTAGCAGTCAGCGTGTGCAGTGGCCTCGCAATTGTAGCAAAATTCTTAACAAATCGCCGATAATATGACGCAAACCCCACGAAGCTGTGTACTTCCGACACCGTTTTAGGCACTGGCCACGCACGAACACAACTAGTCTTCTCCGGATCCGTTGCGACCCCCGCTTCGCTGACCACATGACCAAGATATTTAATGGAAGTTCGCAACAGATGACACTTTTGGGGTTTAAACTTCAAATTGGCGCCCCTTACCCTGCCAAACACAGCTCGCAGCAGCTGCAAATGTCCCTCGAAATCCTTACTGAACACAATGACGTCATCCAGCGAAATCAAACACGACTCCGACTGCAATCCCGTCAACACCAGCTCCATCAGTCGTTGAAAAATGGCTGGTGCGGAATGCAGCCCCATCGGCAAAACATTAAAGTGAAACAATCCTTGCGGCGTGCGAAAAGCCGTCTTCGGTTTAGATGCCTCGTCCAAGGGCAATTGCCAAAAGCCCGATAAGAGGTCTAATGTGGAAAAATTTTTAGCGCCGGACAATGCGTCCAATGAGTCGTCAATGCGCGGAAGTGGATAAGCATCCGCCACCGAAACTTTATTCAATTTCCGGTAATCTACACAAAATCGCATAGAGCCGTCCCTTTTTTTTACCAACACGATCAGGGCTCCCCATGGGCTGGACGAAGGGGATACGATATCCTGTTGCAACATCTCGTCAACCGTCCTCCGAATGCAATCCTTCTCCAGCGGGCTCACCCGGTGAGGATTCAATCGAACAGGGGCCGCATCTCTAGTGTCAATGTGATGTTGCAACAAGGTCGTACGACCGACGTCAAACTTCCCCGAGCTAAACACATCCATAAATTCTCAAAGCAACTCCCTTAACCGCGTCCGCTGCTCGGGTGTCAAATCGTCGTTACCTTCATACAATTCGCGAAACCAGCTCGGTTCCTCCTCCGGTCGCGGCAGCGTGTTACCCCCCCCCCCCCCCCCCCCCCGCTGCCAAACACACATGGCTTTCCGAACCTCGTTCGACTGATGAGTGTGCCAGCGTGGTCCCTTCCTGAATAACGACCGGCTCGTGCCCCGTGTTTACAATCTGAATAAACGGTTCGGCCGTCGCTGGCACCATCGTAAAAACCCCTCCTAAAGAGGGCATTCGTGACACGGCATTTGAAGGTGACAATAATATACCCTCCTCCAAGTTACCTACTGACAGCCCCTTTTTCAATTTCGACGGGACAAGCATCTGCGTCGCAGGCGGAACGCGCACCATGCGGCTAACCACCGCCTGGACCACAGCATTGACACAAGCAAATTTAGACGGAGTACCCAAAAATTGTATGCACTTCCCTGATGGCAATTCCAATTGTCCCCTTTCAATCGAAATCTTAATCGGCATCTTTCGCAAAAAATTCGTGCCCAATAAACACGGTACAGCCAGAACAGACAAAACCAAAATGTACCCCGTTACACAC